GCAAGGACCTGTAAATCTGCTCGCTGTGACACTGCCAGCATCCCGCAGAGCACCGGACCCAGGTGGAGAGTTTCCTTGCAGGTGGTAGGGGAGGAAGCTGTCTGCAGAAAGATGCTGAATTTATGTTACTCGCACTCGCTCCAGGAATGCGGTGAATGAACTCAGAAAGCCCAGGGCAGGAATCAAGTGTGCTTCAGCCCTGACCTTGCCTGACTTTCTTCCAGGCTAAAGAGGGGATGGGGACAGCCGCCGGCCCCCCAGCGCATCTGAATTTACCATGTGCCTTTTCTTGCAACAGCTTTCCCACTCTCAAGCACCTCCACGGGTGAAACGTGATCATCAGAGGCTGAGTCTTTCACCAGGTTTCAAAGCTGGCCGAGCAGGGCAAAACCCTTCTGTTCAGCCCTCGGGAAAGGGAGGGAGGGCAGCAGGGACACGGGGACGTATGGCACACCAGCCTCCTCCCTCGAGGAGGGCAGTAAAGACCACTCAAACTCAAGACATGTTCGCACCTTGAAGATGGGGATCATGGCAGACCCCATCACTGTTGGCTCTTGCAGGCTCTCCTAGAAGTATTGACTAAAAGGCACATTTACAGGAAAAAACCAAACAAACTCTCGCCAGCTAGAGAGGACTGCCATGCCAGGGCTTGCCTTTCTGCAGTGATCTCTCCTTTCTCCCTCTAACACTGCTGCCAATGCTTATTTTAAGCCAAATGTGTTTTTAAGCCTGTGCCCTCTTGATAGATTAAGAAAACCAGAAGAGATGCAGGGTCCAGTTTCTATAACTGTATCAAAACCCTTCCTCCTCCTATTCCCAGTCAAAATCTGCTAGAAGATTTTATTCTTGTTTTTCCCATGAATGCCCCAGGCTTGCATGCCTCCCGTACCACGACTCCGTACACCACCATGTGCCCATGCCCTCACTTGAGCAGGTGAACTGCCCCCTCCTCCGCCACGGCCCTACCTCGGTGGTGGAAAGCAGATCCACCACGATGCGAAGGGACCATCTGAGAGGCTCTTGGGCTTCCCAAGGTCTGGCTTGCGTAACGCTCACACCGAGAGCCAGAGCCTGCAGCAGAGCTGGCACGGGCTTCAAATTTCCATTTCAAAGGAAATTTCGGCATGTATTTTGCTTTACAACTGTTACAGCCCACCTT